ATCTCCGCTTTCAATTCTTCTATTGTCGATTCAATTGTGACCATCTGTCCCTCTATTCTTCCTTCTAGTGCGTTTAGTTTCGCCTCCATTCTTCTTCTTCACGTGCTTTGATTGCTCCTCCAATACCGATTCGGCAGGTTAGACCAACTTGTTAGGTTCCTTTGTTTAGGAAACCAAACAGAACACTCTCTTCTCACAATAACTCTTAACAACAAAAGAAGATGAAAGTATTTGTATATATATTATTGAATCTGTAATATATATATATATATATATATATATATATATATATATATATATAAAGAGAAATACAATTATACGTCTCAAGAAAGCCTCTCTTCCTTCACTAGAAAATGTCCAGTCTATACCCACAAGGAAAATATATGATAATCCTCTCTCCACCTATTCTATTATTATTTATACCCTCTCTTTACTAACAACTAACTTTTGTTCCTAACAAACTTCCCCAACAAACTTCCCCAAACTGTTCTCTATTTCAATGACATTTTGATTAAACCAGGCAAGAAAAGGCTTCATTTCGTTATACATTTTAGAATTAATGATAAAAGTTGAAAAAGAAGGTGTGAAAGATTATGAGTTTACTTTCTTTATTAACATTTAGAAGAGATAAATTTGGTTTAAAGAATTTAAAAAGAAAAGAAAGAAATTATAGATTCAATTTTCTTTAATAACAAAATTAATAACTAATATTTGTCGATAAATAAAAATAATAATGATTTCAATTGTAACACGTCACTAAACGAGTGATGGACTTGTCTTAAAAGTTGTGGAGACATATTTATATTCCCCTTTTATACATTTTTATACTTGTTGATTTTGGCTCATTGAATGAATTTGTTGTCCGAACTTGATGTTTAAAAGCTGTAAGTTACTCTGCAATCAATTGCAGAGATTGCCATATTTCATCACTTTGTACTCACATACTTTGGTTTGGTTTAATTTGAGAGGTTGAGTTGTTAGTTGGGTGAAAAATTCCAAAGAGTACTATTTTACTTGTTCATTAAATTTTGGTGTTTCACTTTCACCTATTTAGAGAAGTGAACTCAGTGTTGATGGTAAATAGCTAGCCTGTCACTTGCACAAAGAACAGACATGTAACTTAATAGGTCCAATCAACTATTTATTCATGAGATTGACCATGCACAATATAAATTTTCACTTTACTAACAGAATACAAAAACTAATGCTATTCTACACTAATTTCCAGAGAGATTGACCATACCCACTTTAAAATTCCATTTTCTTTCTTCAACTGCCAATATCAAGTTCCTGCTTTAAAAATGAACACTTTTAGGTGTTTATGCCTTAAAAGAAAAAACAAGTGAATGTTTGATAACAGAGTACATAAAATGTATTAATATGTAAGTTTTCTTTGGAATTTATCTTATATTTATTTTCCACTTGTTCATTAAATTATTCACATTCTTATTGTTGTTTACTTTACATTCAATGTTAAAATCCCATATTATTTTTATTTATACTTCAACTTTTTATTCAAATTTGAACATTACATACTCAATTGATCTTATTATTTGCATAAATATGTACAAATATTTAGATTAAAAGATTCAGTTTGTACAACTAATCAGTTTAATTAACATTTAAATTCAATAAAAATCATTAAAAAGGTGGAACTTTTATTTGTTCATTCTGAAAACTGACTCCTTTCCAGAATAAATATAAAAATCTTTCACTGTGAAATAAATTATTGTATTGAATTTTACTGTTATTTTATTAATTATTATACTTTGATCCATTCAAATTAGAGATTTCTAGTATGGATAGAAAAATTCGTACATAAATTAAAATATTTATCTTTCAAGTAAATAGGATGTAAAATATATTGATAGGAAAATTAAAATTGGTTCTGTTACCACAACTTTGTACTTCCATATATAGCAGAAAAAACTGCAGTACTCAGAAGTAAACAAACATTTCCTTATAGCATGGATCATGTTTCATTTTTGGAACATTCATTACTTTGCTGACAAAGTTGTCATGTCTTTAATAAAGGCAAAAGTAGAGTCTAACCAACCTACACTACACTACACTAAACTAAATTGTCAAATTTTCTGTCACAGATCTTTTTCAGAATTTTAACTATGATCAACCACTCTCAAACATAAACATATGGTCTCAACCATTGGATGGTACATGGTAATATTTCCCTTTACACATGCACCTATAAACTACAGGGCAAGACTCTGCAACCATGCACTTGTAGCTCACTATCACCCTCTTGCAAGGAAAACAAGAACCACATGCATGAGAACAATCTGGCAAAGCAGACCCTGTTGGGTACAGTTCCATTCTCATGTCTTTCTTTGCTCCATTCTACAAACAAAAATTATTATGGATGAAAAAAATGTATGTTAACATCAATATATACTTTCAATAATAATTTTATCATTGTTGTTTAACAAATTACAAGTAGCTGAACAACCATTAATCATTCCAATGAGTAAGTTTTGAATTCTAACCTTTTTTCAGCAAAAAATAATCTGTTTTTCGTAATAATTTTCAAAAGAGAAAAAGTATCTTTATTTTACAAGTGTCCATGGATAAGTTTATTCAAACATAAGTAGATATGGTTGGATTCTATGAACAGTGAAATTAAATTATTGGAAACAAACCTCTTCAGTTGCTGCTGCTTTCTGCTTCAAATTGATAGACTTAGCTGAAGAAAAATAAATAAAACACACATGAATGTTCTGCAGTAAATGGTCATTTAAACGGCAACATAGTCATAATAATGAGCAAATATAAAGAGACACTTTGTTACTAAAATAATATAATACACTTATTCTAGAAAATTTCAATTTCATACTTGATGCAGAGTTCACTGAGAAGTGTTAGCTGCATGTTAATTACACAACAAATTCAAAACATTGTACTGTCTTTAAGGTTTTACTGATACATTTGATTGGAGCATGTGTGCATGAAGAAGGAAAGTGATTTTTACTGCAACATTAAGTAAAGTAGAGATTTTTACTTACCATGATTAGGGATGATCCCAAGGCTGAAGCCATTAGAAAGTGAAATGAAGAAGGAAAGTAGAAAGAAAAACTTGAAGGCCTGAATTGAGAAAATGGTCATATTCTGTGAAACTATGAAGACTATTTTGATCAGTAGAATGAATTGTTGATGAAAGTGAAGAAGATGGAGATGAAAGTTAGGGAGAAAATTGTTGATGTGAATGTAGAATTATATACATGAAGATGCAAAAGTCCTTTTAAATGTACAATGAGGTACACCTGCTGCATTTCACATGATCCACGCCTCTCTTCTGAAGCTTTCACAAGGTTGCTTACTATTCTAAAATAAAAACATTATCATTATTATTATTATTATTATTATTATTATTATTATTAGTATTATTATTATTATGTTCACTGTTATTATTAACGACTAGTGAAAGATTTTAATAAGTAAATAAAAAAAAAGTGATAGTGGTAATTAAATAAAAGTAATGGGTGTTTTGTTATGTGATGCACTGTTGAGAGGTCTGAATGCTTGCAACAGTGTAAAAAATAACATACAAAATGTTTATATCTAGACTCATAACTAATCTTATATGTATATATATCATTTATAACATTAATAAATGAGATTTTTTATTATTTTACCATTTAAATAATTTTTCTTTTAAGCAAAAAATAACTATACATAATTAAAAAAATTATTTATAATAAATAAAAGTTATCTATAATCAAATTATAAATTTTTTTTATGAAAATTTTTCTAATTTAATAATTATTATAATAAAAAATTTATTAGTTTTTGTTATTATATAAAAATTAAATACATATGCATGAAAAAAATTATATTATTTTGATGTAGACATTTCATATTTATGAATTAGCTTGAGATGTTGCCATAAAAAGATACACAATTATACAATAGGAAGGTTCTTGAGCATGAAATGGGCCCATAGTTAGTGGCAGAGTTTCTTGTACCATTTTTTTTATAATATACTTGCTGTCTTATAAATATAAATTGATAAAAAAAAAATTGTATTTATTTGCATTGATCACGTAATTTAATTTAAGTGACATTGATAATTTAATTTTGTATGTCATCTTAATTACTATAGTGTCAGGTTAAGATGTGAATGATAATGATGCATTTGAATGTATTTATTATTGTCATGTGAATTACATCATCTATCTCTTTCATTATTTTTCATATTAACTACTAATGTTACATTTTAAAAATTAAATAGTTAACAAAAGAATGTGAGAGACAAAAATATCCAACAATTTTATTTTGAACATCAAATTCATGCAGTTATGAAAATAAAAGTTTTTTTCACTTATTCTAATCAAGGCTACATATTTTTAGTCTCTTAGTTTTAGTTTATAAAAAAATTGTCTGATTTCTATATTAATGGTTTTATTTTTATTGATAGATCTCACTTAATTAATATTGATAGATTGTCCCGTCACACCTTTTTAATTAGTATATATACACATTCATATAATATGTATTACTAGACTCATTTAATTAATGTATATTTAAACTTATGTATGTGTATTGTAAAACTCGTTTAATCAGTAAGTGAACAAACTTGTTTAATGTGTGTTAATAAATTCGTCTAATTTGTGTATATCTAATTAGTGCTAGACTTATTTAATAAGTATATAGACGTACTCATCTATTGTTTGTTGCTAGAGTTGTTTAATTACTATATGAACATAGTGATCTAATTAATGCATACAAAGAGTCTTTTAATTGTATTATAAAACTCTTGTTTAACTAGTAAATAGATAAACTCGTTTAATATATATTAATACACTCAATGTGTAATGTAAATTGAGAGACTCATCTAATAAATAAATAAATATATATATATATATATATATATATATATATAAATTAAAAACTAGAAATTTTTTTGTGTAAAGATTCTTAACTTTTCATTTTTTATTTTCTCGAAGGATTTTCTTCTCATTTTTCAATAAATATATTTAAGTAATTGGATTTATAAGATGAGTATTATTTTTTATTATAAAATTCAGTATAAATAAATATTTTTGAAAGCATAAGTTATACTTTATATTTACAATTAAAACATTGAATTATGATAAACGTTATCTTTTATATTTATAATAAAAGAATCAAATGATACAAAATTATTTTTAAGAAAACAAAACTACCCTGTATATTTTCTAGTCTTTCAATTTTATTATTAGGGACTAAACTGATTTTGAAAATATAATGTTATGTCCACAAATTTAATATTGACGAACTAACATGATTAGTTTTTCCAAAACAAATTTTATTTTAGAAACTAATTTTTTTCAAACAGAGATTAAAGGGCCAAACCAATATCCATCTCAAAATATAAGAGAAACATAACTAATATATATGTCTAACTTATAAAAGAGACCGGGAAGAAAAATGTTGATCATTTAATTACAAAAATGTTACGTCTATTACTTGTATATAAGATGTAAATNTTAAGTAATTGGATTTATAAGATGAGTATTATTTTTTATTATAAAATTCAGTATAAATAAATATTTTTGAAAGCATAAGTTATACTTTATATTTACAATTAAAACATTGAATTATGATAAACGTTATCTTTTATATTTATAATAAAAGAATCAAATGATACAAAATTATTTTTAAGAAAACAAAACTACCCTGTATATTTTCTAGTCTTTCAATTTTATTATTAGGGACTAAACTGATTTTGAAAATATAATGTTATGTCCACAAATTTAATATTGACGAACTAACATGATTAGTTTTTCCAAAACAAATTTTATTTTAGAAACTAATTTTTTTCAAACAGAGATTAAAGGGCCAAACCAATATCCATCTCAAAATATAAGAGAAACATAACTAATATATATGTCTAACTTATAAAAGAGACCGGGAAGAAAAATGTTGATCATTTAATTACAAAAATGTTACGTCTATTACTTGTATATAAGATGTAAATTCAATGACACAGTCAACTTTCTGTTAGCGATAAATGAATGATGAAAAAAATTTGAGGATGATTGAAAATAATATTGGTTGTGTTTATAGGAGTGAAGATAAATAATTTGGGAGAAAATCACCACATTATTTATCATATTTTAAAAAAAAACAGTTAAACATTACATATTTATTATTTTTATTTTATTCCCACTTAGTTTTAATATTGATTTTGTTTTATCCTTTGTTATTTATTTTGATGTGAAGCAATGAAGTGGGGACAGAAAATTAAATAAGAAGGACGAGATGCAGACGTGATAGGAGTTAAAGTAGTAACTGAGATAAACGTGAGATCATGGTTTCGGAATAAATGAACCCATTTCTTGTACCGAAATCCACTGCTTCACTTCAAACTTCTTATGACCTTTTTAATTCATACATCAATAAATATGTCTCTTTTGAATTCCCATTAAAATATATATTGGATTTTAAATTTGGACTCACATAATCAAACTAATTTTCAATTTTTTTAATCTAGTTTAAATATATATTTTTTGCTATATATAAAACTTCCAGAACTCAAACGGCCTTCTAGAACTCCCAGTATCTTAAACATGGCAGCAATAAAGTTCCAAGAAGATGATATAGTAGCTAGAAAGGTTCACGGGTAAATCAATAAATGCAGAGTTCGAATGGAAATATATGAGGAGCCACCAAACTCATTTTGCAACATATGTTTTCTGAATAGTTATTTTGAAATATTTTCCATGTTCATTTCGGAACCCTAATAATGTATTCTTGTGAAAAACTTTCATTCTAGAAGACTAATCAAACATTTTTTCATAAATCACTTCTACTTCAATCAATTTTTAACAACAGCCACTCATTGTTACTAGATGACTATTTTTAGTAAACCAGTTACTTATGACTAAGTAGACTTTGTGAGTAATGATGAAAGAATTACAAGGTTGTTTGTTAGAGAGGACAATCATTTGTAGATATATGTCTAAAGAGAAATTAACTAATCATTAAATAAAATCAAGAACTCCAACACACAAAGGATGAACAATGTCTCTTTTGACACACAAATGATTAACAATTTTTCTAATAACAATAATAATACTCAATTACAAGACACGCTTAATGAAAGTTCTTATTCTACCCATACTATGTTTTTCAAAGTTTCCTTTTCACAAATATTGAGACTTCTAGCATACAACTCTTAAATCTTTGAGTGAAACGATGAATTCATATATGCATTTGCCTCAATTGATCAAATTCATCCATTCATTCTTGTGTTTAGCCTCAATTGATCAATTTATTTTATTGCATTTGCATTCAAAAAAAATCAAAATTTGTTCTTTAGAGTCTTAATTAGTTGAGTAATCCAATATATGTTTAGTGCCGTGAGTCTCTTGGGAAACGATTCTTGGTCTTACCATTTATTATTACTTGATACGATTTGGTACAGGTACCAAAGTCTTAACAAGTTTTTGACTCTGGTTTCGGGGGTTAAAAATTTGTTTATCAAGTTTTAGGCGTCGTTGCCAGGGATTAAAAATTTGTTTATCAAGTTTTTGGCACCGTTGATAACAGTTGAAAAACTGTTATTTTGATACTTAATTTTGACCTTAAAGACAACCTTTATGACTTAGAAATTAGCTTGAAATCATGTTTTCACTTAAGTATTGGAAATAAGAGAGTTGGATAGGTTTTATGCTTGGTTTTCCTTGTTTTGAAAGGTTTTAAGATGAATTGAATGAAAGAAGTGAAGTAGCAAGGAGTTGGACTCAAAAAAGGAAGAAAAAGTGCACAAAAGAAGAGCCGCAAGTACCGCTCAACGCCACTTTTACCGCTGAGCGGCACTCTGAAGTTTTGTAGTCACCGCTGAGGGGCAAAACTACAGCTGAGCGTCAAAATAGAAGAATCTCACTTACCGCTAAGTGTTAATTACCGCTGAGCGCCATTTTATTGGGCCTTGGCCAATTTTCTGTAATTTTTAGGAAGCTATACAAGGTTTTAGCCGAATTAGGGTTAGTATCTCTGGACAAAACGAGGAAAAATCACACTTTTTTCACCCCTTGGAGGAGGATTTTGGATGCTCAAGCTCCACTCTTCAACTTCTAGGGTTCTATCTTTCATTCTTTCATTCTTTTTCATCTAGTTTCACCATGTCTATGGTGAGCTAAACCTTCGTTGTTGTTGGGGAACCCATGTAATCCTTTGAAACTCTCATGTATTGAATTGGTTCTTTA